CTCGTTGTCAATAATGCTTGTCTGTTTTTTCGTATACAGATTGAGTTCACATTTTCCATTTCGAGAGTCATGGTACATTAGTTTACATAGTTCAACAAATTAGACATGTTTCCTCTAGATATGGCATTGGTGATTTGGATATTTCCTATCTAGGGTACCACTGGGAGAGGGTGAAAAAGTTATAGAAATAACGAGGGGGGGGGGGTAACGGGGAAGTAGGTGTCACTCCCAGGCATGAGGTGACTAACATTGACCTTTTTAAGTAACGTATTTTTACATGTTTGTACATTCTTGTACCTTGGTGTACTCGTTAGGAACACAGCTGTCGGTTAGCAGATACACGTCCTAGCCATCTTCATTCCCATTCATTTTTTGGGTGGGGGGGGGGAGGAGATTATTGCGCTCCCTATATTGGTGCCATTCCTCCCATGCCTCTTGCCAGACCTTCTTTGGGAGAGAGGTTCGCCTGGCCGCTATTTCATATAGCCTTGTGGTTTCTAATAATTGTGTGAGTTCGGTGGTTGGCATTGGTAGAGGTGATTTCCAGTGCCTGCTAATTACGGTATGGGCTGCCATGAGTAGTTGATATATTAGGTATTTTTGCTTCCACCCCATCCTTTTTGGGAATAGTTGGAGGAGGTATGTTTCGGGTGTCCTGGGTAGTATAGTTTTTGTGCTCTCTTGAATTATGGTGGAGACTACGTCCCAGAATGGGGTTAGGATGGGACAGGTCCACCAAATATGGAGCATCGTGCCTTTATGCTGCTGGCATCTCTAGCATACATCAGATGCTTGGGGGTGCGCCGCTTTAATGCGAGTGGGCACTAAATACCACCGATATAGAATTTTGCGAGAGAGCTCCATATGTGAGGCACATTTAGAGAGGGAGTTGTGCGCCTTTAAGATGTCTTTCCACTGCTGCGGAGTTAGGTTATATTTGAATTCTTTCTCCCATGCAGTTGTGAAAGAGAATTTTATATGGCCAGTGTGTGCGTGCATTGATTGGTAGATTTCAGAGATTAGTTTTTTGGGGGGCGAGAGGCGTAGGCATATTTTTTCTACCGCCGTCAGCTGTGGTTCCTGTACATTTCCAGACCCATTCACAGTTTGCTTGTGGAACCAGGATTTTATTTGTAAATAGGAGAAGGAGACCTGTGCGTTGAGGTGGTAGGAGTCTTGTATATCCTTGAAACTTCTAAGTTCCTGATCTTGTATGAGGTGATATAGATGCGTGATGCCATATTCATGCCACAATGCGTGGTTGAAATTGGGGATTATGTATTGTAATGTTTTTAGGGGCATGGCTTGTGATGTTTTACCTGTCCAGCCCATTTTACGGCAGTGTGTGTCCCAAAAGTGCAGTGTTAGTGCTGTGACTGGGAGCATCACGCTCGTCGATGGTCTGTGGGTTTTTGGGAGCCATGCCAATATTGTTAGGGGGATGTTGTTTGCATGGTATGTCTCTATCTCTTCCCATGGAGTTGGGTAAGTTCTGTGGCATGCTGCTAGGAGTGGACTCAGTATGGCCGCACGGTAGTAGCTGTCTAGGTTGGGTACACCCATCCCCCCTTTCTCCCGCGGCAGGTATAGTGTGCTTTTTGCTACCCGTGGTTTGTGCTTGTCCCATATAAATTCCATTAGCGTTTGTTGTGCTTCCTGAAGGAAACGGGGGGGGTAATTTTATTGGCAGTGTTCTGAATAAATATTGTAGTTTCGGTAAAACAATCATTTTGATCGCAGCTATTCTGCCTGACCACGAGATGTATTTACCTTTCCATCCTGTTAACACTGTTTTTATGTCGGACAGTGTTTTTTGGTAGTTTGTTTTATATAGTAGGGCTGGCTTCTGTGTGATGTTAATTCCTAGGAATTTTAGATAGTCGGTTCTCCAGTCATAGTGAAAGGAGTTGCGTAAGCTCTCTAATGTGTCAGTGGGAATATTTATGCCCATTGCCTGGGTTTTGGTCACATTTAACTTATAGTGTGAGCATTTGCTGTATTGGGATAGGACAGAATGAAAGTTTGGCAGGGAGATATGTGGTTGCTCCAACGTTAGTAGCACGTCATCCGCAAACAGTGTGAGTTTGTACTCCTTGCCTTGTTTAGTGATTTCATGTATGTTCGGGTTGTCCCTGATGAGCTGTGTGAGCGGCTCCAGGGATAGAATGTATAATAGAGGAGAAAGCGGGCATCCCTGCCGCGTTCCATTGGTTATGTTGAATTGTTTGGAGATGAAACCTCCGTTCGTGACTTTCGCAGTCGGTTTGGAGTATAGTGCCTCTACCAGTTTTAGGAAGTTGTCAGGAAAGCCATATTTGTTGAGGACCGCGCGGAGGAAGGGCCAGTGCAGCCTATCAAAGGCTTTTTCTGCATCAAGCGACAGGAGTACACATTGGGCCCCTCCTCCGCGCCCCCTCCCTAGCAAGTCCAAAACCTTCCTGGTTCCATCAGCCTCCTGTCTACCACTGACAAAGCCTACCTGGTCTTATGTATTATGGTCGGTATGATGTTTGCTAGACGATTCGAGAATATTTTGGCTAGTAGTTTAGTGTCGGTATTGAGGAGAGATATTGGCCTTAGGTTCTGGCATTTGGTCGGGGGTTTGCCTGGTTTTGGCAGTGTGGCCACATGCGCCATGAGCATTTCCTGGGGCATCTGGCCGGTTGTGATAATATGGTTAAAGGATTTCTCTAGATATGGGACAAGGGATGCGGTCTGTGACTTGTAATAGGCATTTGTCAGGCCGTCAGGTCCTGGTGATTTCCCGTGAGGGAGAGATTGGATGGCGTGTTGGATTTCTTGTGTCGTGACTGGGTTTTGTAAAGTTGTTTTTTGTTGAGCTGAAAGTGCCGGTAGTGTGGTTTGCCGGAGGAAGTCTTGTATGTCTGAGGAGGTGGGTTGGTGTAAATCTGGGTCGTCCTTGAGGTTGTATAGTGAGTGGTAGTATGTCGCCATAGTGTCGTTAATGTCCTGTGGATTGTGGATTTTAGTTCCTTTGTTTGTAAGTAGGTAGGGTATTTTGGCATTGGATTGTTTTTGTCTCAGTAAGGTTGCCAAGTGTTTACCTGCTCTGTTGCCTTGGGAGTATGAGGTTTGTTTTAGTTTGTGTAGGATGTGTACAGTTTTTGCTAGTGCTATGTTGTTGAGGTGTGCCTTGGTGTCTTTGATTACCTGTGCTTGTTGCGGGGTAGGGTTCATTATGTTTGCCGCAGTAGCATCTCTTAGGGTGCGCAGCAGATTCAGATATTCCTCTTGGGCTTTTTTCTTTACATAGGACGCTCGACTGATCAATAAGCCTCTTATTACCGCCTTATGGGCTTGCCATAGCGTTGTTGGGTGTATGTCTGGGGTGTCGTTTATTTGGAAGTATGCGCGCAGGGCATCCGTTAGTGTTTGAGAAAAGATATGGTCGTGGAGGAGTGAGTCGTTTAGGCGCCAGGGTGGCCGCCCCCTGTGCTGGTATTCTCCAAATATTTCTACCATGGTCGGGGAATGATCCGACCAGGTGATGTCCCCAATGTTGCTATCAGTAACCTTAGGTAAGAGGGTGCCTGCAAGAAAAATGAAATCTATTCTCGAGTGGGATTTATGTACTGCCGAATAGTATGAGAATGATTTTTCGGTCGGGTGGTACATTCTCCATGAGTCATAGAGTCCGTATTCCCCCAGCAGTTTATTTAGGGCTTTGCTTTGTGGTCGTAGTGTTGCCTGCCTAGGGGCTGTGGGATTTAGCGTGGTGTCCATGTTGGGATCTAAAGGATGGTTCAGGTCCCCGCATAGTATGGTAGCAGCCGTTTGGTGGTCTGGGATCATAGATAATACTTTATGCAGAAAATTACGTTGATGCACGTTTGGACTGTAGAAGCTAATTACAACATACGGGGAGCCATTAAGTAGGCACTGAAGCATCACATATCTCCCCTGACTGTCTGTTTTAACTCGTAAGATTTCTACAGTTAGTGAAGCGTGAAGAAGGATCGATACTCCTTTCGACTTTGAGGAGTGGGTGGCATGGTATTGGTGGGGATAGTCCTTTATACCAAATTTTGGCACCTTGGAGGTGACAAAGTGCGTTTCTTGAAGGCAGATGATATCTGCTTTATTCTTCCTAGCCTCCTCCAGTACCATGCGTCTTTTGTGGGGTGTATTCATCCCCCTACTATTATGTGAATATATTCTCATGTTATAGATTTATGGTAGAGATAGCTCGTTTGTGGGCTTGTTATTTCCACAGTGGGTGACTTGGTAGATAGTGGTAGATCAACGTGCTGCCTGTTGGGCAATCTTAGAATGGTGACTTGTAGCCTGGGAGTTGTGGGTAGTGTAGGGAGGGTGTTGAGGGTTAACATAAAAGAAAGTATATACAAAGTGACCCAACTGGGGGTCCTGGCACTGATGCTCAGTGCCATGGGGGTTGGACGCTCGGGTTGCGTCTCTGGTAGTGTGGCCAATGGGCTCTCATATTGACATGTTTTCAGATGTGTCAGAACGTTAGGGGGGGGTATGGTAGCGTGTTTCGCTGAGTATATAAGTGGGTAGTTAGAACTGGGGTAACTCGCTCGGGGGTACTGGTAGTACTTGGAGCAG